TTTAAAATTTTCCCTTGATTACAAAAGTCTGTGAATATCTGTAAAAAAAAACTAAAAAGTCTGTAAATGTCTGTAACGAAAAAAATGTCTGTGAAAAAAATAGATGTCTGTAAATTCACAGACATGTCTGTAAATCTGGCATCTCTGGTGCAACCGATAGCTATCCAGCTTTCCATGCTCGGTAATGGTGGCCTGTTTGTATGAATAAATGTATCCTTCACTGTGCTTATTGACAGTATCTGGAGGACCCTAGCAATCCAATGGAATATTAATGGTATTTACCATAACATTGGAGACCTAGAGGTGCTAGTCAGAGAGCACGAGCCACTGATCCTGGCGAGGGGGGCGACACATCTAAATCTCAATTCTAGATGCTCAACAAATCTCACACTAGCGAATCAATCTTCGAAAAATCTTCAATCATTTCTTCCATCTACTTGCATCGCACATCATCTTTTTGCAAGAAATCTTCAGAATCGTCATCAATCTTTTTTCTATCTACTCAGTGTGCATGCAGCTAACCACAGCAAAACACAATTTTTCCTGCATCGTAGATAGAGTCGCCCCCCTCGGATCCTGGGTATCCAGGAAATCCACCGTGCTGACCCAACCAGCCTGAACAGATCCCTCTCCGGAAGATACACCTGGACCACAAAGACGAACCAGAATGTGTTCCAATCTGTGGGCATTGGAGTCGTCAAGGACACACTGTTCTCCATAGTCGAGATCGACACCGATCTGCCAATTGTGGGGGTCAGACTAGAGGTCCCGTTTCCTATCACGGTCCTCTGCGTCTACCTCCCAAACGGCAAGATCAACGGGCTTGCGAAGCAACTCAGCGACATAATCAGCGCACTTCCGGAACCGGTCCTCATGCTAGGCGATGTTAATGGTCACCATACAACGTGGGGCAGTCCTAGAAACAACACCCGGGGTTCCATCATACACGCAGAAAAAAATATTTTAAAAGTAATAATATTTGACGTAAAATCAATAAGAATTTCATTTTGTTTTGGCTGCAAAAAGAAATCATTATTGTTTCAACAATCCAGTATTTTTGTTTCTAAAAACCCATGGATTGTTAAATCAAAAAGAAACTCTTTTAGAATTTACAAGAGCTTTCATGGTTTTGACGTAAGCTGTCAAATTTGGCAGCTGGGTCAACAACAAAAATATGTTTGTTTTTAAAAGATATTTCTTGTTGATTCAATCATATTTATTTTATAAAGTCTGACAATTCACGCAGTAGAAATAAAAATGTGTTTATTGATGTAAAAATAATATGGCATTTTTTTTTATGTTTCGTTTTCATTTTGAAACAAAATTGCAGAAATTGTAATTGAATTTCTGAGGCATAAACGTAACGCGGAACGCGTAAGTATTGTTATTGTTTACATTTTTGTCCGGGTGAAAACGAGGGAATGGTTGGTAGTTATTTTTGCTTTCATGGCCCAGAGAATGGACACAGCAAATATATGCTAAATTAAAATTAACTATTGCTGGCTTAATAATAGAATATTGTTATTTTTACAATAGTTGCATTTGAAAAGTGGCTGATTAAAACAAAAAGAATCCTATTTTGAATTTATATGAATAAGTATTATTGAAACAACAAAAAGCAATATAATTTCAACTGGAATTGTTTGCTTAAAATTAAAGATTTTTTTGGTTCAATTCAAACAATTTTCTGTCCGTGTAGCAAACCTTGCGGAACAACACGACCTGATCATTATCAACGACGGGTCGAACACGTTTACCCGTCCACCGATAGAGTCGGCCATTGACATCTCGGCGGTAAGCGGGAATATCGCCCACCGGCTAGCGTGGAAGGTGTCCGACGACCCTGGAGGCAGCGACCACTTCCCAATTTTCATCACGGTCAACGACAACCCCCCAGAGACCTCCCGTCGTCCAAGGTGGCTCTACGACCGTGCCGATTGGGAAGGTTACGAAATAAGCATCAGCAGCATATGTCAGGAGAACCCACCTCTGAGTCTGGACGAGCTTACGGAAAATATGGTAAAGGCAGCGAACCAGGCCATCCCCAAATCAAAGGCGAACCCGGGACCCAAACCCCTTCATTGGTGGTCACCCACAACGAAGGCGGCCGTCAAAGCCAGGCGCAAGGCCCTCCGCGCAGCCAAACGTCTACCGCAGGGCCACCCTGATAAAGAAAAGGCCATCGAAGTGTACCGCTCCGCCAGGAACCAGTGTCGGCAAACCATCCAGGATGTCAAAAAGGCCAGCTGGGAAAGCTTCCTAGATGAGATAAATGCCAACCAATCTGCGTCCGAGATCTGGCAAAGGATCAACGCTATCCGGGGAAGCAGGCGAGCCCGGGGCTTCACCCTCCGAGGACCAAACGGAATAACCCGAGATCCGGAGGAAATCGCCAACCTCCTTGGCGATTATTTCGAGTCGCTGTCCAGCCTGGGAAACTACGACGAGGGTTTCCGAAACCGCAACTCCGTCTCCACCTCCAGCATCAACAATTTCCAAATCCCCGACGACGGAAACGACCTCACCATCAACAGGCCTTTCACAATGGAAGAGCTGGGCTTCGCCCTCAGAAAGGCCAAGGGCAAATCCGCCGGGCCGGATGAGGTCGGATACCCGATGATAAGGAACCTCCCACCCACGCAAAAGACGACCCTCCTCGAACTTTTCAACCTGGCCTGGACTGACCGCCAGATGCCGAACACCTGGAAACACAGTCTAATCGTACCCATTCCGAAAAACCCCGGACCGGCATTACTGCCTAAGGACTTCCGACCGATCTCCCTGACCAGCTGTTGCAGCAAAATTATGGAGCGCTTGGTTAACCGAAGACTGACGGGCTTCCTCGAAGGGAACAGCCTGTTGGACCACACGCTTTTCGACCTGGCCACGGAACCGGCACCTATTTTAATAGCCTCGGCCAGATCGTCCAGGAGGCACTCCGTAAGGACCAACACGTAGAGTTGGCCTCCCTGGATCTGGCTAAGGCTTACAACAGGGCATGGACACCACAAGTCCTACACCAACTGTCCAAATGGGGTCTTGGAGGAAATATTCTCTACTTCCTGAGGAATTACCTACAGGACAGGACATTCCAGGTGACCATCGGTAATCATCGATCCAACACCAGGCGAGAGGAGACTGGAGTTCCACAGGGTTCCGTAATTGCTGTCACCATCTTCTTGGTGGCAATGAACGGAATCTTTGTGGGACTGCCAAAGGAAATATACATCCTGGTGTATGCGGACGACATCTTGCTCCTAGTATTCGGGAAAACTCTAAAAGCAATGAAGGTAAAATTGCAGCGGCTATAGACCTTTTTGACGTTTAATCATCTTTCTTTATCTAGCACACATGGATAAATGGACGGTTTGTTTTCCCACTAATCTGTTTCCCTCTTGCTCGCACTCGTTCGCTTTAAATGGTACAGTAGTGTGCGCCGATTAAACGTCAAAAAGCTCTATAGGCTAGGACATCGTTGCTTGCTATTTTCAGAATTCACACAAATACAACGTCAGCAGCTCTTAATGAGAAAAACTAAAATACAAACATTCGCAACGATCTTCGACGACAGTGTGGTATGACAGAGCCGGTCATATGACATTTTAGTTTGGTGCTGTAATTAGATAGCCTGTTCTACAAGTGTCGGAAGCAAAGGCAGTCGATTATCACAGAAAATGTGTCGGCTACTTAAAATCGTGTCGCGTAAAAGACTGGTCACTGCACTATCATGCTATACGTGAATTATTGTTACTCCGAATAAATAATAGGAACTTCTCGGCTTTTCCAATTATCATACATTACATAGATCACATTAAAATATTGTAAAAATGAAACCGATCTTCTAGAGACCTTACCAGTACCGAATGATCTAATTAACTAACCCCTAGATTTCCCGATTGTGTTCCGCAGAGTATCAAGTGCTCTGCGCATAAGTACGGGCGTATATGAGAGCAGCGAGCTTGCGACTCGGGGTGCTCCGCGGTATGAAAAAACACTGATCTATCCAATCACTTGCTGCGTTGGTTGAGAAGTAGTGTTTCTCACATCGCTCCTGTTGTGCATCTATGATCTTCTGTGATGTGTTTGGTTGTTGGTGCTCCCTTATTTCCAAACGAAGGCGTAGAATAATGATAGAGTGGGATGCATTCATTGGCCACATTCCTTCCAATTTGATGTGGGTTACTCTTGAGCACTCAGCGACGTCCTGAGCGGCCATTGTATAGTGGCGTAGGGTTAAGCTCCATTATGATCGGTATTGACCTTCATTCTACCGTCAAATGATTTCCTTTCCAGATATAACAGTGACATGAACGAAGGTGTCTCACGGTCTTGGGACCTTAGTGAGCCCTGGGAGGTTTTGTTCTTGTCAGGTGCCGTTCAACAAGCTTAAAATTTATCTGTTTTGCTTTGTAGGGAAAAAACAAACCAGCACTGTCAAAACCATCTCTGGTGCCAATTACCACACACCATGACTCAATATTAATCATGAAATAAAATAGAAAATCCCTACTATTTCGTATTACATAGTAAAAATTTAACTGTTTACCACACGTTTGAGTATAAAGATCATATACGTTTTGCCAATTTTAGTTAAAATGTCGTGTGACAAAATCTTCGATTTTAGCCATCTGGCTAAGAAAGTGACCCCCCTTAAAGAAGGACTATTTGGAAGTCAATTTTAAGCTCCTAAATTGAAGAATTAAGATCTCAAATTTTGTCTTTTTACTCAATACAAGTTGATCTATTGAAACACAGGCGCGTAAAGCCCAATTAATCGATAATTTCTTGTTGTTAGCTGTAATTCCCACTAGGGCCAAATACTGGAGCTAGTGTCAAAACTGACTCACCTACCCTATAATACAATTATTTTCATCGAAACAACATATGTGATAAAGTAGGCTTGGAAATAGCAAGCTTCATTAGGTGTAAAATTAATGACAAAAGAGCATCAAAATTCAAAGTAACACAAGTTAAATAAAACTTTTAAAAAAAACTGCAATATGTCGAAAGAAATACCCGAAACCGTTAACCAGCAAGATTCCATTTCTAAAAATTCAGAGCTCGAAACGGGAGAAAAATCCACCATTTCTCAATCGTCGGAAAAGTTCTCGAAATCATTCGAATTAAATTACCCCAACGGGGAGCTGGACACATTCCCGATGAAAGATCTAGAACCAACCTCCCTAGACGAACTACTCAACCGCGAGCTAAACGAACAACCTTTGTCGTTCGGTAAATTCGGCTTTGAAACGGAGCAACGCAGCAACGGAGACATCGACAAAGCAAAGGAGGTGACAATCGAGGAACCCATCGTCTCATTTGTGAACTCAGATCCACCGTTCAAGAAGAACCGTCGCATCCAGGTGCCTTCCAATGGTGAGTTTTTTTTTTTTGGGAAGGTAATTTTGAAAAATCAAATTCTGTACTATGATGGTTTCGAGTAGATATCACCAAAGGCATCTCAAGTATTGAGCCGTCGCCGAAAAAGCCAATCAAAAAAAGATTGCACGATCCAACGCCACAGAAGATTGGCGTCCTGGTTGGTGTTCCATGTCGCCGTAGGCCTTCGAAAGGTGGAAGGTATTTTTTTGTGAACTTACTATGCAATTGCAGCAACTTGCTAAAATTAAATTCGTTTTTACAGCGATGAAAATCAACAGCAGGACCTGCTCAAGCATTTCACGCTGGTTTTCCTATTCTCCCGATTGAAAAACCCCATGAAATGGGACGTGGCCACATTTGAAGAGATCCAAGCATTAGGAAATTCCATTGATTCTACGATGGTTAATACGAAGTTTTGCGTTCAGTACAAAGATCTTGATCATTCTATAACTTTGACGAGCACCTTGGCCAAGGGGCGAATAAACTCCACGGATGCTCCACCGCCAACACTCAAGAGTGCGCTAATTGAGCACGTGTCCAGCTACAGCGGATTGGTGCTGAAGTGCGAATCACACTATATGATGCTGTGGAGGATTACCGAAGGCTACTACCTGTACGATCCCTGCTTGAATGACGTATCGCAGTTGATTTTCTTCAATAGTCTGAAATTGCTGATGAAGTTTATTTTGGAGAAGAAACAGTTGAACGACCGGTCCAAGTTTTACATGGCCAAGATTTCGTGGCACGCTGTTGACGATGGACTGGTTATGACTCTGAAGAGGATGTCTCGTATTGCCAAAAAATTTAAGATATTGAACTCGAAAGAAGCATTGCTAATGGGGGATCGATATATCAAGGATGCAGGATTCAAACTAGAATCTCTGCGAGTGTCGCTAAATGCGATCTATTTGGCTCAACAGTTAGAAGCGAGATCGTGGGATGCTAGCAACTTGAACGGATTGTTCAATGGACTAATGAGCGACAAGGAGATTAACAAGCTGGGAGTGTTTCTCATCGAGGAAGGAGAGGAGGAGAGCTTTCTTCTGGAGAAAGGTAGATTGATTAGGTTGAGCGTTTCTTTCCACTATACGCAACGAGAAGACTTTGAATGGCTGGTTAATCGCCTGATTACTATTCGGGTCGCTCTCATCATCAGGGTAAACGAATCCTATTTCTCAGTTTGGAGCAGCGGAAACATTCTGTACTGGTTCTCACCCTTCCGTTACGACGCCTTGAAGCTGGACCCCGTGGAATTAGAGGACAAAGCGTCTTTCATGTATGCATTCAATACGCTGGATCGGCTATCCACCGTTATGTTCGAATATCTTACCGAAATCGGTCTACTTCCGAAGCATTGCATCCGCATGTTTACCGTCGACGGGGAACCGTTTGGAAAGGCACCCCGGCTACCGTTGGTGGACAGTAAAGATTCACTGAATCGCAGCGAACTCGAGATTCAAGTATCGGAAGGCACGAAGAACAAAGAGTACATACAGATTGGCGATCTACCTCCGATGACCCTGTCCGAGGCCAAGCTGTGCCGAATCATGGTACGAGATATTATGGGCAATGCCGAGACAAAGTATGATGAATAGTTTGTTTTCTAATAAAATCTGAATATAGCAATAGGTATAACATTTTAAAGCTTTTTGTTCCTTTGGTTTGTTTTCCGTGCTGAGCACTAATGCTACCGACGCCAGGGAGGCCGCTGCCACACCTGGACCCTACCTATCGACCCATCAACTCATGAACCGGGGACCAACGGCTTTACTTCCCTTCCGAGAGAATATCCCGGCGGCACCGACTGAGAATGAACCCACACCGAAAATAGTTTTCATGTAGCTTCCATCGGAAACGCATATGATTTTCATCCATAATCAAAATTAATGGAATTCATCTGAATTTCACATAACATTTATGCGATCACATTAATTTTATATGATTTTTCATATGAATTTCATGGACCTCATGTGATTCATGTGATTTTGTGGTGGGATTTGCTGCTATGTGATCACAGGAAAGCTATGTGAAAATCACATGGATTTCATCCATTAGATATGTGATAAATTTTTTGAGTGCAGGCCTGCTCGGGTGAGAGGTAATCACGCTTACCACTACACCACCGGCGCCGCTAACATTCTCATTCTAAGCTGCTGCGTAAAGAGATCACGGCCTTTCTTGTGTTCCGTTGCGTTGTGCGCTTGTTTCCCATTTAGATCACATTCGCAAGTTCAAACTTGTAATCCACATTTAAGCCTGGTACGCAGCTGAAAAGTAATGACGTTTTTACGTGCTACGGGATAGGACACGGAATGCAAAAGAAATTACTTTTCCTCAGCATTTCTTGACCCAGTACGCAGTTCAAAAGAAATCGGTAAAGGAAAGATCGATTTCATTAGTATCGTAATCGACATGAAGGTGGCGCATTCTGAATACAATTTCACTTTCCTTGCGGAATAATGGTCTGATCAATTATTCCGTTAGGTAATGTTGGCGTTTATTGCAAAACTGATGTTTTGGATGCATTTAAACAACATAAACACTAATAAGTGTTGATTTTACAATTTGACGACATCTCCCTACACGGAAATGAAAAACTACTCAAAATTAAGTACTTTTCCCTCAATTCTGGGGTTCAACCCAATAACCCAAATTTGAGTAAATCGCATATAGTAGTTTCCATTTAAAACCGGCAAAAAAAATTACCTACTCTTAAGTATATTCTACCCAAAATTAAGTTTAATTCACGTAAATTTAAGAATATGCAATTTACTCAAAAGTAACTTATTGGGCTGAACTATATCGTTGGGTCGAATCTCTCGCTCCTTTTTTGACAACAATAACGAGTGCAAGTGAGAGGCTGAAGTCAATATTAAGTAAAAAGAACTCATATTTTGGGTAGTATTTTTTCTCCATGATAATCTCAAAATTTAGCAGCCTATAGCTGTCAAATTTTCTTTTGGGAAAAATCCTCAAAAATTGCTTTTCCGTTTTCTTTTCAGCTGCGTAACAGGCTTTACTCGTCATTTGCGATCCACACAGAAATTCAAAACAACCCAAAATTAAGTTCTTTTCACTCATCTCCCATGTTCCGTACGATAAGCCAAATTTGGGTAAACCGGCTCAAAGTAGTTTGCATTTAAGTACGGCAAAAAAAATTACCCATCGCTAAGTTATTTTCAATTTTTTCTACCCAAAATTAAGTTCAATTAACTCAAATTTGGGTATATCGCATATTACTCAATTTTGGCTTCTTGTACGGAACTAGACGGTTGAGTCGAATCTTTCGTTCTATTTTTGACAACAATAGCGAGAGGAAATGAAACGGACAGAGGTCAAATAACTCAAATTTGAGTTTAAAAAACCCAAGCGGTGGGTAGTTTTGTTTTTCTGTGCACAGCTTACACAGGATTGAGCGATCTTGAGAGAGAGATCGATCTTGGCGGACCCTAATAAAAATTCGACAGTGAGCATTCATAAGGGCGTATACGCGATGATCGATTCTCTTCATCGATTTTCTCTTTTCTTAATAACTCGCTAGATTTAACGTTTGTCAGTGCGTTTGTTGTTGCTTTTGAAAGCCAATACAACCTATTACAACTCTACATTGAACAAATTCTATAAAATTGTTTCGCTTAGCTGTAGCAATGCAAAGAGAAAAACGATGAAGAGAATCGATCATCACGTATACGCCCTTATGCATGCTCACTGTCGAATTGTATGGTTAATTTGCTTAACGACGTGTTCTGGGTATCATCCAAACCATTTGTGGAATAGTTCAATGATTTGGGTTATCGTTCGTTTATGGTTATTTTTTATTAGGGGATCGATTTTATATTTGGCTCTAGAATCGATCCCAGGGGCCTGGCAACCCTATATCAATCCTATACGTTTGACAGTAGACAACATCACGGGCCTGAATAAATCGGTACCAAATAATCGATCTTTGGTGGATCGATCTTATGATTTTTATTTTCATACTCTTGTTTACGTTAGTACCCCAAGAAATTATTTCCTTTATAAAATTATATTTTGTCGTGATGGTAAGGGGCTGGTCATTAAATACGTAGAACATTATTTATGTGTTCATTTTAAGTAAACACGGCACCGCTTAAACGTCAAATTTGTTACTGCAGTTCATTCCGTGCATTGGTTAATATCGAGATGGGAAATGACAGGTGGGCAGGAACTCACGGTCTCCCAGTGTTGGTGAGTTCTTTGCCGTTAATGTTCACGAAAAGTTCACTATTTTGCCATACAGAAATTCAAAACAAAAAATTTATCTGCGGATTTGGACAGTTTTTGACCTGTTTCATACGACCGGAAGGTGTATGCTGGTCACAAATGTCGTGCCAAACTGATTTCCTACGCAATTAATCAATCTTTGATGTGAATTTCGCTAATAAACACGAGAAGCATTTCTTATAGCAAAACTTGCCATAACAAAATGGGCGGTTCATTTTAGTAAACAAACTAACACTTCTTCCGACTGTGTCACCTCTCTTACTCGTCTAGGGTCAATATTAGGTTCTGTAGTGTGACGTCACGAATGAACTCAGTGTTAATCGGCTGAACCTTTTCGACAGTTCAGTGGTACTGTTTACAGACACGTAGTCGTTTTTTCGAAAAAAAATATGTTTTTAAATTTCCGAATTTTAACTTGAAAATTGTCGAGGAAATACGTGGTGAAAGGATGTGGCTCGTGGACATTGCAAAAGTGTGGATTACATCTCACTTCAATCTGAAATTTTTTCCAGAAAATCTACACAAGAAAAAATCGACTAAGTCCACGTAAACAGTACCACTGAACTGTCATCAGATTGAGGTTAACCCCAACGGTGCAAAACCTAATGCCTTGTCACTGGCCTGGAAAGTAAAGTAAACTCTTTTTATTCATACGGCCCAATCTTCAAAAGATCGATCCAAGATCGCCCAATCCTAGCTGACCGGGCGGGAAAAGAGCTGCTGTTGTTTTGTTTGACAGCTGCGATTTCGGGTTTATGTGATAAAATACGCTTGTCTTCTTGCGCGTTGATAATTAATTTGAAAAAAATCTAGGTAAAAACGGACTGTTTCCGCGTAATTTTATAATATTTCGATACATCGAAAGACTCTACACCGTGTTCCGGTGGTGATTTCCGGATAGAACAGCCATATTCGGAAAAATCAAGGCGAAAAGATTGCTGCTGATAGGAAGGTTAGTTGGATTCTGCTTTTTCTCATATTGTTTGTTAGAATTGTGCAAATAGTACATTTAACTAGGTTGGTTGCAACGATTAATTAATTAATTTAGCTTTATTTAGGAGGCTTTCAGCCTTAGGCTGGTTCGCCTCCGAATACTTGGTTGCAACGAATAATGTCATAATGGAACGTGTTAAAAATTGTTTCGTTGAGGGATGCACAGTTTCCTAAATAAAGGTTTAGCTCGTACCAGCGGTAGGGAAGTCGGGGTCAAATGCGTCACCGAAACATGCTCCTTGCATAAAACCTACACACAAAATTCTAGTTTTTATCTGGCCGTTGTTCGGTAATTTTTTTTTTTGCCGTTTTGATCTGTAAAATTTAATTGGTTCAATTTACATCTGGCAAAGAACTATTATACAAGTGTTAGGTAATTCGTATGATAATATTGCTGAACATTTCAGTGCCAACATTTCAAAGGGGCGTAATTGCTTTTGTAAACAATGACTTTAGCCGTCAATTTCTCGCGAATGAAATCTTACCTCTCCAAAATTACAATGCGAGCTGGTAGAGGAAACATTCCTCTACCTGCTGGTGTCATTATTTTTCATGAGTGAGCTTTTATTCGCGGGAAATCGACGGCTAAAGCCATTGTTTACAAATGCAATTACGCCCCTTTGAAATGTTGGCACTGATTTGTATTTATTTTACCGATGTACTTATACTGTGGACCCCTGGTAATCTGACCGTTTTTAATCTGAATTATTCTTTTTAATTTGAATCCAGCAAACTAATAGTGAATTCGTTTATATAGCATTGCCCAGTAACATGGTGATAATACAGCGAATCTTCCACGTACCGGTTGGGTACTTGGTTTCAGCAAACGTCTGCCAGTACAACGCACAGTTAATAACCTTCTTCTCCTGCTCGAGCTTCTATCATCAGTCACACTTCTTCTAACAGAGGGGCTGAAATTCGAGTGCAATTTCCTTGAAGCGGATGAATAGCAACGAGTTCGTTTAATATTTGAATTTATTTTGAAATTTATGATCTCAATTTTTTCCGTTTTTCATCTGCGAGAACTTGAACTGTAAAAAAAATTGATGGAGAAGTAACCGATGAATTAGCTACAAGCTGTAGCATGCCATGATAATATGTATTTTTTTTCCTTGGGTTTGTTGTCCGTGCTGAGCACCAATGCTACCGACGCCAGGGAGTCAGCTCCCACACTTGGACCCTACCTATCGACCCATCAACTCATGAACCGGGGACCAACGGCTTTACTTCCCTTCCGAAGGAAGGCGTGAATGATAATATGCAGTAACGAATACATTTAGTTTTCAATTCATCAATCACACCAAGCAGACCTATTCACTCAATTGTCCCATTAGGTTATGGGCCCAGACAGTTGCTATAGAAACGGCTCTGTTTGGTAAAGAAGAATTTTTTTTCCAATTTTTTCGAAGCAAAAATTTTTTGAAGAAAATGGATGGCGGAGGTTCGAACGAAGGCGGACGGGTGGACGAGAAAACGGAAGAGCCCCTGCTAACGGACGAATCGGTTTTGTTCCCGGTGAACTACAGCTCCTGGTCCTTCGCGACCAAGATGATCCTGATCAAAGAACGAACGTGGTGCGCAGTGATGGACAGCAGGAGGGCTATCTGGAGGTTAGTGAAGATGTTTCCGAGCAAGCTTTGGCCACGATATGCTTGAGGATCGATCCCAAGATTTATCGGCTGCGGAATACGTACGAGCACAGTGGTTCCACCAGGAAAATTGAACTGCTGAGAAGGCTTACGGGAATCCGGCTGGTTGGCGCTGAACGCGATGAGGACATCATATGCCAAACGAGGCAGGAGTACGTGAACGAACTTTTTACGACAAGTCACCAGTTATCGGAGGTCGGTTTCGAAGTCGACGATACTTGGTTGGCGAGTCGGCTGATGAAGGGTCTACGGAAGCGTTGTTGCCAAGGGTGCCGTCAATTTGGAAGCAGACATTAGAGGTACGTCTTGTAAAATCACCATTAGTAATGTTCTGTGCGTTCCAGATTTGGCGTTAAATTTGTTATCCGTGAGCAAGATGTGCCAGAACGGGTATCAAGTCATGTTCAAAAAAGACTCTTGTAAAGTTATCAGCACTACGAACGAAGTTGTAGCGATCCGACAGCATTCGGATGGACTCAACAAGTTGGCGTTGGCTAAAAGTTCATCAGTTCACTTGGCTCGAGGGCAGAACAGCTTCCAACTATGGCATCAGCGAATGGGGCACCTATCGGTTGGCTGCATGAGGAGACTCAGAAGCATGGTAACTGGAATGGAGTTTGAGGATACAAATTCCTTTCAATGTGTGTCGTGTATCCAAGGCAAGCACCAACGACAACCGTTTAAGGCGAAGGGTCACAGGACTGAACGTTTGCTAGAGCTGTTTCATTCCGATCTCTGTGGGCCGATGGAGACAACGTTGATAGGAGGACGTCGTTATTTCCTAACGTTTATCGACGATGCTAGCAGGAAGGCGTTCGTCTATTTCCTGAAATCAAAAGCAGATGTGTTAGAAGCGTTCGAAGATTTCAAGTCGTATGCCGAGAACCAGACGGGTGAGCAAATCAAGCGGATCAGAACGGGCAATGGCAATGAGTACGTCAATCGAGATATGCGCCATTACCTTCGGCGAGCTGGCATTCACCACGAAACCACGGTTCCGTACAATCTGGAGCAGAACGGGCTAGCAGAGCGGATGAACCGCACGTTACTCCCTAAGAAAAGTTCACTGGAAATCGTCCCGATTTATCGCACCTTCGTGTGTTTGGAAGCGAGGTAATGGTGCACGTTCCCAAAGAGAAGCGCCGGAAGTGGGATGCGAAGTCAGAGCGGTGTATATTCATGGGCTACAGCGAGAACTCGAAAGCGTACAGGGCGTACAGTTTTAAAGCGCAGAACGTAGTAGTTAGCCGTGACGTTATATTTTTGAGCGAAGACCGAATAATGCTGAGAGAAGCTGATCCTGTCGCACAGGCAACTCCTATCGAAATAGTTGTGCGGAACGAACAAGAGGATGCGGAGGAACAGGGCGTTGACGAAGGTGATCACGAATCACTAACGGATGAGGACGAGCTCAGTGACAGCAACAAATCCGAGAATGGCGACAACGATGATACTTTGATTGATGCGGATCAACAACCTGCTGCGCTCCCTCCACAACAGAGAACCCACAACAGTTGGTAAGGCGCAGTGCGAGGGAGCGCGTAACTCCAGGCTAGTATTAAGATTTTCATTTGGGTTTCGGTATTCTTCCTAACTTCCCAGATTTCCCAGTTACCCGAGGTCCCAGACAATTTGAATGTCGAGCCATAGACGTTCCAAGAAGCGATAACGAGCGATTACAGCAACCGTTGGAAGGACGCAATGGTTAAAGAGTATCGAGGGTTGCTATAAAATCAAACCTGGGAGCGATACAAAGCCCACTTGGTAATCAAGGGTTATCCTCAAGTCAAGGGCATCGATTACGAGGAGACTTACTCAACCGTGGTCCGGTATGCTACCATCTGGTACTTGATGTCGTTAGCTGCCAGAATGGATCTCAAGATACATCAGATGGATGAAGTCAGAGCATTTCTGCAAGGTGAGCTGAAAAAGGAAGCCATAGCAGCCGGAAGGATTTATCACCAACGGAAGTCCGAAGAAGGTTTGCAAGTTGAAGAAAGCGCTGTACGGACTGAAACAAGCCAGTAGAGTATGGAACCAGAAGCTGGATGGTGAACTCAAGCGTTTTGGACTAACGCGGTCGAAGTTTGGCACGTGACAACCTACTGGTGTTTTCCAACAACCAGTTGTGGGCGAATGCTTTGAAGAAGCAGCTCACAACGAAGCTTATGATGAAGGATCTCGGATTGGCCAACAAAGTCCTTGAATCCGAGTCGAGTGAGGAGACGGAACTGTGTGTTTGGACCAGGAGCAGTACATTCAACAGCTGCTGGAACGATTCGGAATGAGTGACTGTGATACAGTAGCAACCCCGGCAGATCACAATCAAAAACTATCGAAGCAGGTGAGCCCTAGAACTGAAGAAGAACGGAAGTAGATGCAGAAAGTTCCATTCCGGGAGCTGGAGGGAGGTCTCCAGTTCCTAGCGCAATGTACCCGACCGGACATCAGCTTCGCTGTTTACGCAGTCAGTCATTTCTGCAGCGACCCCGGTAAGCCACACTGGATAGCAGCAAAACGTATTTTGCGGTATCTGAAAGGGACGAAGGATATGAAGCTTACCTACCGCAAGCAAGCAGATAGCGGTTTGGTTGGATTCAGCGACGCAGATTGGGGAAACGACATCGAGACGCGACGCTCTATCACCGGGTACGTCTTCATGCAGTCAGGTGGACCGATTTCGTGGAACTGTCGTAAGCAATCAACCGTGGCCTTATCAACGACGGAGTCTGAATACATGGCGGTATCAGTGGCAGCACAAGAAGTCATCTGGTGGAGAGGACTACGGCAGGAACTATCAGGGCAAGACGCAACGATAACCATCTTTTGCGACAACCGAAGTGCGATTCACCTTGCTGAAAGAGAAGTCGTTTTTTCGTGAGAAACTGGAAGAGAAGATTATCAAGTTGGATCACGTTGGAAGTCATCTTCTAACAAAGGCGGTGCCGGTCCCTAAACTTGAAGCTAGACGACGAACAATAGGGATTGGTAACCGTAACCGATGAATTAGCTACAATAAATTTAGTTTTCAATTCATAAATCACACCAAGCAGACCTATTCACTCAATTGTGCCATTACAAATAAATCTCAAAAGTCATAACTACAGAGACGCCAAACTCATGGGATACTGAGACTGATACCTTGATTGCCATACTTCGGCGCATTCGGCACAATGCAAGACCCAGCTTTTGGCTCAGATAAAGAACTCGACACAAATTGAGATGTGCAGAGTTGAACACTCCTTAGTATTTTTGAAAGTTGATCAACTTTTATTATAAAAGAATGCGCTTTAATTTGTTTTCAGTAGGTGGCAATACCTTTACTTATGGTTCAAACAGTAACTATCCACTTGACTTCTGCACTCTGAAAAATCTTCACGTCCGATTGACGTGAGAACATAGGTGGTTTTCGTCCACCCTATTTTACACGTAACTTTTACCGGAATTGCATGTAGCCGATCAAAATTCAGCTTCAATTATCTACCTGATTAGTCAGGTAAATAAGACATAATTTCCACGTACTGTTTACGTGAAATCGGGGTGAAAACTACTGGACATCCGGTAAATTTTACGTGACATTCCGTTTTGTTTAAAATGCTTTTCATATAATTTGTACGTGAATTTTTAATGAGAATAATGGGAAGTATATATAGAAGCAGTCAATATAATGCAATTTTATCGGGAAGATATAAATTTCACATGTTTAAATTAATACTTATATCCACTCATAAAATTGTAAAATATTGACTATTTGATTATTATTAAGGTAGAAACCAAACAAAATATACCTGTTTGCAGACTCAAAGAGCTGATGTCAACGCATGAAATTATAAAACTAGAAAAAGGCTACATATAATCATAAATAAATTAATGTAAAGGAATCTAATTACCGTCCAACATTTGCAGCAAGTGCTGATGAATTTTGAATCTTTAAGGAGTTCTTTCACCACGCTCGGTGACGCCATATTGATTTTTTGCGTACCTAAAAATCACGTAAATCTAGTTTCACGGAAATATCGAAGTTCCAAACACACAAACACAAATACACTAAATCTGTTTACGTGAATATACGGTCAATTTCACCAACATTTTTAGTGGACATGACGTGTAATGCAGGTCAAAGTTACTAACGCCACGTAACATTTGAAATTTTCTAAATACAGATCAGGTACGTGATATTTTTTTTAAAGTGTGAGCTCTTTGGAATTTGATTGGCTCCCGTTTGACAGTTTGACAGGGCTCCCAGATGACAAGCATTTTGAGTTAGTTCGCAGCTGAGTACTGCGAACTAACTCAAAATGCTTGTCATCTGGGAGCCGAGTCGAACTGTCAAACGGGAGCCAAACATTCAAAAGAGCTCAGAAGTCATGTGGATAGTTACTGTTTGAACCATAAGTAAAGGTATTGCCACATACTGAAAACAAATTAATAATTATAATTATGAAACTGTCGAAACATCAACCTTAGTAGGCGGATAATGTAAATCATCAAACGTGATGCTCGAATAAGTGTTTTTATTGGATATTAATAATAATGCCAAAACTGGGTTACGAATTGCAGCAACAAGAATTTAATCAAACTTTATAAGAGTCATGTGAGCTTTGTGGGCAGGTGCACTCCCAACACCATGTATACGTTATTTGTGGAGCAGAGAAGGAGGAGCCAAGAGTTCATTTGACAGCATGTATATACGATTTCGTGAAGCTTCGAAAGATTTTCAAGATGTTTTCTTGCTCACTTGAAAAGTTAAATCGACAGAGTTCGCAATACCCAGGTTCGCAGTACTCAGGTTAGGACTAAAGAGGATGAATTTGTATGTGTGACATGTCAAAATTGGAACAATCGATTGTCTGTCAAAGTCATAGGAAAGTCATTCCAATCGAGCAGAACACCTGTCAAATGGATAAGATATCGCCTCTTTATAAATTCAGGCTCTTTAGTTAGGACGGAATTGAAACTCGTAGAACGAATTTGCAATCAAGAAGCAGTGTTAGATTTCTTACAATATCTCAATAATTTGTGACTTGTTATCAAATCCAACGGTACGTATAGAAAGGTAAATAAATTTGGAAGTCAAAGGAAGGCAGTTCATATCCGTTAAAAAGAGAGGTTAAGTGTGGGTAGTAGGACGGAAATTAGATTCAAAACCCTATTCACCCATATTCTTCGAATCGTTGTTCGAATCGTATTTTCGTATTTTCCATACAAAAAACTTTTTTTTTGTATAAAAAATATGATTCAAACGAAAACAACTAGTACATAAAATACCATGACATACCGTATAGGAAAAAACACCGCGTTCCATTTATGACTCATTGCCTCTTTGTTCTATATGTAGACAACAACCGCCGGCCACCATCGTCTACCTACTACACACAGCCCAATCCCCGGAACTGAAAAATGGCCAAGGTGCACATAACCAACGTCGTGGTGCTGGACAATCCGAGCAGCTTCCTGAACCCGTTCCAGTTTGAGCTCACCTTCGAGTGTATAGAAGAGCTAAAAGAGGACCTCGAGTGGAAAATGATCTACGTGGGATCGGCTGAGTCGGAGGAATTCGATCAGGTTCTGGACACCATCTACGTTGGCCCCGTCCCCGAAGGGCGTCACATTTTCGTATTTCAAGCAGACCCGCCAAATGTCGCCCGAATTCCCGAACAAGATGCGGTTGGCGTGACGGTCGTCCTATTGACCTGCTCCTACCGAGGGCAGGAATTCGTGCGAGTAGGCTACTTCATCAATAACGAATATTCCGAACAAGAGCTTCGAGAGAACCCACCAGCGAAACCGTTGTTCCATCAGATGACTCGAAATATCCTCGCCTCAAAACCCCGCGTGACAAGGTTCAAAATCAACTGGGACGATACGCCGGCCAATGGAAGTGGAACGACCAGCGGAATGGAAGAAGAAGCCGGATTGAATATGGAAAATGGGATCGAGGAAGCTCAAATGGATGCTGCTACCAGCACTGCCAGCACCGTTGCCGAGATGATGTCCGAGGTGACGCAAGGCGACAGTAGTCAAACGCTCCCGCGGGAGTTTAACGAAAATTCAAATTCACTGGCGATGGAATGTTGAGGTCAGCTTCAACGACCGTCCGGGCGGGCAGCCTTAATTTCCTTTTTTTGCCTTCTATGTGTTTCATTTGAAAATTGTAGGCTGCTTTGTATTTTACTTGACCCAACCGTCCTGTACATATGATGGTCATGGGTTTCACTCAATCTCACTGGTTCACTTTCTTATGATTAATAAAAGTAAAAAACCGGAATGGTCTTAGCTTTTTTTGTCCTTGATTTGTTTTTCGTCGATCTTGTTTTCCGTGCTGAGCACCAAAGCTACCGACGCTAGGGAGGCAGCTCCCACACCCGGACCCTACCTATCGATCCATCAGCTTATGAACCGGCATTACTTCCCTTCCGAAGGAAGGCGTGATCAGAGATGTTATGCCTCAGAACATTCCGGCGGCGCCGACTGGGATTGAACCCAGGCCTGCTGGTGTGAGAGGCAATCACGCTTACAAGTACACCACCAGCACCGCTCAATGCTATTAAACATGATTTTTATTCAGTAATAAATTATAATAAACACTCAAGCGTACGTGCATCATAAGGGAAGCTTATCTGTAAATAATAATTACGAGGAGTGAAGATGAAGTTAGAGTAATAAAATATAAAATTTTCCATCGATTGATAAATTATTGGGATGACAGCATTCATAATGATTCCAAGATAATTCCGTTTATCCGAATATCGTTCGTTTCAAAGTCCATTTATCATCCATATTCTCGTTAACGTACGAACCCGTATTTTCGCACACACACAAAATTTGTATGAAAAATACGGTTCAATTCGTACACGGAGAAAAAATACTACCCAAAATTTGAGTTCTTTTTACTTAATATTGAGTTCAGTCGCTCCAAAATGTACACTTGCACTCTTTATTGTTGTCACAAAAGATAACGAGAAAATACCGAGAGCAAACCATTGCATTGATTCTGTTGATATTTAAAGACCAAACAAATTAATAAATGGACTAACCCGCCCATCTTGCCTCACCTTACCTTAAATTTCAAAGGGCCAGTGTAGTATAAGATCACAACTAAATGAGCTCGAATTTTGGGAGAATGGTCAGAATCTGAATTAGAATGGTGGGCGTTGGCCAGATTTGGATTTTTCAGGTATAATCCTAAATAGGACCTAGATTATTTAATACTCTAGTAACCTCCAATCCGTGCTCTGTCACAGTATTTTATTGTGATTAATCAACACTCAACGGTGTAAAATATCAAATTTAGGGTGAATTTGAAAGAAAGGGAACTTGGAGTGTAGAGCGCACTGCCCACTGGACGATTCTGAAGCCTGGTCAAGTGAGTGGGGTATGGATTTGTCATTTACAATTTATATATTGATACTTTCAAACCATTGGCATTTGGTATTTGAGATAAGACAGAGATAGGATGCGGAGGGCCCGCTTAGGGGGAGCGTAACCCATGTTATGGTTTCCATTTATTAAATAGTTCAGGAAGCCTAGAAATGACAGGTTCATAGTGATTAAAATCAGATTCACATCGACAGGTCATGCCCAAGAATAAGGGGATTAGCGATGATTTGTCAAGTTTTATTTTGCATTTGCATATAATTGTAATTTTAAGTTTGCTTTTGGAATTATAAGATAAATAGTTTACCCCAATTGAAACATTGAGTTGTATAAACTTGACGAATCATACATCTAACTTAGTAGTAGTTACAGTGTCGCATGATCTAACAACCACTGCCTGCAACTAATGTCGGAGGAGCCGGCAGGGCTGATTACGGATCTAACTAATAAAAAACTAACATAACTCTAACACTAAAATGATCCCTAAACAAACGCTCATTCATAAAGTAGTTTTATTTATTTTCGGTGAACTTGACCAAAATTGGATTTTTATACAGCAATTCCATAGAAAAAAGTTATAGTGGGTCTCAGAATTTCATGAAAATTGGTAAAGTTCTTCCTTATCAAAAAATATTAGACTCGTATTTTTTTATTGCGCCATTAGGGTGACCATTTCCGTGTTAGGGTGGTCCAAAAAATCATTTTTTTTCAAAAATGTCTTTTTTCAAAAATTTATAACTTATGAAAGATCACAGCAGCTGTGACTAATGAAATCTATGAGTAACTTACAAGCTGGGTGCAACATTCAGTTCAGCCTGGAGGCTGTCCATAAACCACGTAGACCAATTTTTAAACATTGCAGATCCTACCTCCCCCCTCGTATAATTTACTAAAATTTTAAAATATTTTTACCGAGCGTATACTGTGGCTGGACTCCCCTCCCCCATTGAAGTCTACGTGGCTTTAAAACAGGCCCCAGTTTGACATTATTAATTTTGGTATCAAAATTCTGGGAGAAGTACTTAAATGCTACAAATAATGACGAGGTCGAAGAAAAATAAGTAAAACATGAAGCATTTATTTTCTTTAATTACAATTTCACACATTTTTCTTCCGTTGAAAATGAATACCGTTTGACAATATTATACTTTTCGTTTTGAGGCTTAAAACTATGGAATGACTGTGTCCCCGAAATTTGGTTCACATGTATATAACGGTTTTTTTCAATTTTCTTTCCATTTTATTGTAATCGGATTCCGAAAAAAAAACTGATAGTGTATTTTTGAATCTGGCTTAGAAATAGCCCATGAGTAAAGTTCTTGGGCCGTTGTTATATGGTGGCCTTGCAAACTCGATTTCGCAGCGTTTCGTTTTAATACTCCTCCCAAAGCATCACAAGGGCCCTTTCCATGACAAGTTGCGAAAAAATTCCACTCGACAGCAATGCCAAAATCTTTTTGCATGTTGCATAAATTAAAAGCGGTCATCTTATTTTTATATTGGCTTCCTGATCCATCTGAGAAAAAGTAAATCCACAGACAAACAGACATAACACTCATAAGTTGTTCATCGAACAAGCATTTTATGGTCAATTTGAAAGTATCTCAGTTGGTAGTACTGCCACCTGTGGCGCGCATAGTAAATTCCCTTACGTTTGACGTTTACACACTACCGCCATCTGTTCAGTGTACTACCCACCACAGTGTACTCAACAGATGGCGGTAATGTTTTAGCGACGATGTTTTACAATGAGAAATATTCAATGTGTTATGTCTGTTTGTCTGTGGTAAATCTGTTGTAAGCTTGGCAATTTACATTTTATGAACGCTAGACAATGCGTAAGAAATAAACGAACTGCGACATGATTATGTTTAGTGAAATCAGCAATTGCAATAAAACTAGTTAATTTCAAATCGTTAGATTCTTCGTCTTTAAAATAAATATCACAAGGGTGAATAGTACACTACACAATTGAACTGCATCCTGCACAACGAAAGAATAATTCTCCGAAAAATCACAGATTATGATGCATTCTGTAGCTTTCAAATTGCTTTTGACATGTTTCATGTAATTTGCCTGTTGCTCAGCTATAAAGTTATGCGGCAATAAATTGAATAATTTTTCTAAAAAAGTATCAATAAATTCCTGTGTGTCCATTTCAACTAAGTCCATAATGCATCTGTCTACTTGACGCCATTGTTTGAATTGTATTGATTCAACATGTCCGTTACTAAGAATAGTCATTAGTTCTGTGGCCAAAATTTGCGTTCCTGAACAATTTTTGCAACACTGCAGCCAGCATTGTTCACTTGGATTTTGACAAATTATTTTTTTAAACAAATCGTGATAGGAATCAACACCATCTGGGAGTGATTGTCTGCTTTGTAGTGTTTTAAAAATAAGTTTAACGTTCTGATGATATATACAAACGCATACGGTATGCGTGCCACTTGTCCCTGCCAAAATGCAGTGTTTCGGACGGTTACTGGCGAACATGGAAAATCCTATTTTAATATCAGGATATGTATTTTTAAAGATGGAGTACGCCTCCTGCAAGTTACACAAAACTAATCTTCTTTGTACGTAGATTTCGCCTTCATCATTTTTAGATATTAAATAATCTCTTTTCCCCGGACAAACACGACTTATATCGTCACTATTGTAAAAATCACGAACAAGCATTATCGTTGGTTCTCCTAATGAAGCTCTGCTTAACCTCTTTACAGGCACCGACATTATTCCTTTCTCTTGCTGCAGTGCTTTTGCTTGGTTGGCCATATGTTGGGAAACATTGAACTCCTTCATAATTCTATATGTAGACCAACTTTTGGGAAGTGTGGTTAAAATCCTGTATCGCTCATTGCTGTCTCTTGTTTCTTTATATTTATCCTTAAGTTGTATAAGGAATTCATTTCCGTCCGACAAAGGTGCGTTGTAGGTGGTAACGATCGATTCAGAACTGGTTGTTTCCACTTATTCTGAAAATAAATATAAAAAATGATTGATTATTAGAAAAAAAAACATACAAATGATTTATTTTTTATTATTTACCTTGGCAGGGAAAAGGAACCATTCTGGACGGTCCCGCAACGGAAATTGATTCAATGCTGGTTGCTTCGATGGACTCTGAAAAATGATTGCAAAAAAGAAGAGTTTGTTAGTAGTTAGAAGAAAAGAATTGAAATTTAAAGAAGAATCACATGAATTTTTAAATAACGTACCTGCAGCAGCGATTCTGGATGGTCCTGCAACGGCTTCTTCGGTCACGGCATCATTGGGTTCAGTTTGTGGTAGCATCGTTGACAAATGAAGGAGCTACTCTCATCTATTTTAATCTTTTTTTCCACTGCATAATCGTACAATTTATTGGTGATTTTTCTGGCACATGAACTCAACATCCAAACATCACACATTGAACACTTACGTTTCATTTTTAGATATTCTTCAATTCAACTGTTCTAGTAGGAAACTTTGATTTCTAACTGATCATTTCTTTCATAACATTCGTTGTTTTATGTGAAGCATTATATCGTACCTAAGAGTGAGTGATATACCTACGAGTCTAAGCTGTAACTCATAGGTATATCACCTGTTCGTAAGCAATGACGTCACTTCAAACAACTGTTTCAGGTAAATAGATGAATATTGCGAATAAATACAAACACCACCAAACATTTCCAAATGTCACTAACACCGCGAAGCCTATTGGGCTGGAGCTTATGTAAAAGTCATTGCCTACGAACGAGTGATATACCTATGAGATACAGCTTGGTCTCTTAGGTACTGATGCAACATGCAAAAAATTTTTGGCATTGCTGCCGTGTGGCATTTTTTCGCAACTTGTCATGGAAAAGGCCCTATGGGAGGAGTATTGAAACGAAACGCTTTAAAATTTGAGTATACGAAGGGAAAGGTAGGATCTGCAATGTTTAAAACTTGGTCTACGTGGTTTATGGACGGCCCGCAGATTGAACCTAAATGATCCTAAAAGGGATCTAGATTATTT